GCAATATGATAAAAGGGTCACACATGATGGGTATAGGAATCGATATAGCTTTGTCAAGGATGGGAAGACTATTACTCTTGCTCCATTAACACTTGCACAAGTTTATGGAGATCAACTCAAGCTGAAAAGTGAGGAAGATGAGAGAATAAGAGAGTCTGGAAAAAGGAGAGGCAATAGTGAAACCATCGATAAGAGAGAAAATAGTGAGGTGGCTAGAGTGGAGAAAAGAGAGAGGAGCCACATGAGGGGAAAGAAAAGGAGTCAGCTGAGCGGAGAGAAAAGCCAAAGGTCAACTTCTATGCAAAGCAGAGTGAGTTGAAAAAGGCTATGAGTGAAAGTAGACAAATGATATTGTTAGTGTACAAGGAGTCCCTCCTCAATCTTGAGAATTCTAACACATCCCTCCTTAGTTTGGTTAAATCTTTATTGCAGGAGTTCGACGATGTGTTTTCCGAGGAGATGCCAAGTGGATTGCCACCAATCAGAGGCATCGAGCACCAGATTGACTTTGTACCCGGAGCTGTCATACCTAATCGACCAGCTTACCGAAGCAATCCCGAGGAGACGAAGGAGCTTCAGAAGCAAGTGGAGGAGTTGATGAGCAAAGGTTATGTCAGGGAGAGCATGAGTCCATGTGCTGTACCTGTTTTATTGGTACCTAAGAAGGACGGGACTTGGAGAATGTGCGTGAATTGCCGAGCTATCAACAATATCACGGTAAAGTATCGTCACCCAATACTTATGTTAGATGATATGCTTGATGAGTTGCATGGGGCTTGCATTTTTAGTAAAATTGATCTTAAGAGTGGGTATCATTAAATTCGAATGCGGGAGGGTGATGAATGGAAAACGGCATTTAAAACTAAGTATGGGTTGTATGAATGGTTAGTTATGCCATTTGGACTCACTAATGCACCGAGCACTTTTATGCATTTAATGAACCATATTTTGCGTGCTTTTATTGGGAAACTTGTTGTGGTTTACTTTGATGACATCTTAATCTATAGCAAAACCCTATATGAGCATTTAGAGCATTTAAATTGTGTGCTTGTTGTATTACGAAAGGAACAACTATATGCCAATTTTAAAAAGTGTACATTTTGCATGGATAAAGTTGTTTTCCTAGGATTTTGTAGTTAGTGCTAATGGGGTAGAAGTTGATGAAGAAAAGATAAAAGCTATAAAAGAATGGCCAACACCTAAAACTATAACTGAAGTTAGAAGTTTTCATGGATTGGCTAGTTTTTATAGGAGGTTTGTAAGAGATTTTAGCACCATCACCACACCGTTGACTGAAATAGTAAAGAAGAGTGTAGGTTTCCATTGGGGAGAATCACAAGAAGTTGCATTTAACATGATTAAGGATAAGCTATGTAAAGCACCTGTTTTAGCATTACCTAATTTTGATAAAACATTCGAGGTTGAGTGTGATGCATCAGGGATAGGTATAGGAGCAGTATTAATGCAGGAAAGGAGGCCTATTGCTTACTTTAGTGAAAAGTTGAGTGGAGCAGCATTGAACTATCCGACATATGACAAAGAGTTGTATTCACTTGTTCGAGTTTTGGAGACTTGGCAGCACTACTTATGGCCAAAGGAATTCGTGATACACACCGATCATGAATCTTTGAAGCATTTGAGAGGTCAAGGTAAGTTGAACAAAAGACATGCGAGATGGATGGAGTTTATTTAGACTTTTCCATACGTCATCAAGTACAAACAAGGTAATGAAAACATAGTTGCTGATGCATTGTCTCGAAGGTACATGCTTTTAAATTCATTAAGGGCCAAAGGAATTTGTGATACACACCGATCATGAATCTTTGAAGCATTTGAGAGGTCAAGGTAAGTTGAACAAAAGACATGCGAGATGGATGGAGTTTATTTAGACTTTTCCATACGTCATCAAGTACAAACAAGGTAATGAAAACATAGTTGCTGATGCATTGTCTCGAAGGTACATGCTTTTAAATTCATTAAGTACTAGATTACTTGGTTTTGAGCATATTAAAAGCATGTATGAAACTGATAGTGATTTTTCTGATATATATGCTTCATGTGACAAATGTGCATTTGATAAATTCTATAGGCATGAAGGATATCTGTTTAAGGAAAATAAGTTGTGTATTCCTAATTGTTCTTTGCGTGAATTATTGGTAAGGGAAGCACATGGGGGTGGTTTAATGGGACACTTTGGGGTTCAAAAGACTTTAGACATGTTAAGAGAACATTTTTATTGGCCTAGAATGCGACATGACGTAGAACAAATATGTGGAAAGTGCATAACTTGTAAAAAGGCTAAGTCTAAGGTTCAACCTCATGGATTGTATACTCCTTTGTCTGTGCCTAGTGAACCATGGGTAGACATATCTATGGATTTTATGTTAGGTTTGCCTAGGACAAAGAGGGGTAGGGACTCAATATTTGTAGTGGTCAATAGGTTTAGTAAGATGGCGCACTTTATACCATGTCATAAAACTGACGATGCTACTAATATTGCGGACTTGTTCTTTAAGGAAATAGTACGTTTACATGGAGTACCTAAGAGTATAGTGTCAGATAGAGATGTGAAATTTTTGAGTCATTTTTGGCGTGTTTTATGGAGTAAGTTAGGAACTAAGTTATTGTTTTCTACAACTTGTCACCCACAAACAGATGGTCAAACTGAGGTGGTAAATCG